CCTCAACATTGCCAAACCAATATCCCCACCAAACCCTACCGATGCTTGGGTAAATGTTTATAATTCATAGCGTTTCATGAGACGCACTTCTAGTTACCCAGCAACCAGGAGAACGCAACGATTAATGAGCGTAACAAAGCGTAAACTGGGCTTCGGTTAACCCTAAAACAAAAGCAACATTCTGCTATGCAACGTACCCATTTGCAGGTAGCCAATCTCTCATCACTTTGTTATGTTTAAGCTTGTTTGGTTCTTCTGACCAGCAGATTCCCAATCTTTTTATTCTATTGTGTAACGTATTTTTAAGCGCCTACCACGTTATTGTCTATGAACGAAGTCGATTTTGAAGGCAAGCCTGTCATCAAGGTTTACTACTGTTTCACTTGAACTCAGCTTTGTTCCAATCAGAAAGAGTGGAGATCTCAACAAACCTGAGACAGTACGGGATAAGATTTTGTACGTGTATCTTTAATTTATAATGGTTCTAGATTGATTTACTCACTTTTCACTGTCGATTCGACCTTGTAGTCTACCAGAGTCGGTCTGCTCGTCAGGCGAAACAACGAGAAGCCGAGTTGGAACGTGTACGTCGCGAAGCAGAGGCCAAAGTTCGTGCCCTTCAATCCACTGTGGGCGGTAGGCGGAGACGTAAGGTACGAGATCGGAAAATGCACGATGGCGATATGGCAACGGGTGGTGAGTGGAATGCCAGGAACGGTGATGGGTCTTCCCTCGAACGTCCTGCACTGGTAACCATGGATGGTACACAGAGATATGGTGTTGTCCCATCGAGGCCGACGGTACGTATTGGAGAGGAATACGATGCCTATGACCCGGAATATTTCGTTCCCGGTGGAAATTATCCAGGTACCGGTCCGACAGTACAGGGTATGTCACGTGCCTGTCCGCCCGACGATTAGACGGCAAGTGGGTACTGTGTTCGACTTCCTCGGTCGCTGGGACCCTCATTTACCAAGATCTTTCACGACTGCCCAATGGATGAGCATAGCTACCGACATACGATCATGATCATTTTCCTGTATCTCGTTTGGTGTTTCTTCTAATTTGGCCACGTACCATGCTTTGTACATATTTCATACACACCTAATTGCCTCAGAGAGATATCACATGATGGAAGTCCACTACCAGATACACGTACCCCTGACTTGGCATCTCACCATGTGAACTGATTATCTAGGATGTCAAACTTTCACAGAATTTTGAACCAAGAGAGACAATTTTTGTGCGAATCAAATGTAGCTATACATTCAGTTATATCACGTGAAAACGATGCACATAGGTAGCCGCTGGTCTTGGATTGGATTATGAGGTTTTTTTCAGGTTCCGAATAATCACGAAACATCACTGATTCTCACATGTAGTAGTGACTCATTCATCCTCAGTTCTGTACTGTATCTCAGCTCAGTTTCTTGCTTTTTGCGCGTCAGACTGCTTCGGATTACACATTATTTGATTATTACAGCGTGGTTTCATGCTTCCCTTGAAACGAAACTGGGCCTTACAGCAGTGCGACGGTTCCCGTACATCCTCAACACTATGGGCTTTACTGGAAAGTGTACATGTGACACAGAGCCCTTCATGTCAATCAATGGCCAATGAGTACATATCTGAGGACAATTTTGTCAACTAGTTTCTGAATGACGGAGTGCTGTGGTGGCCTGACGTCACCGCTAGGCGTTTGATCCAGAGGCTTTAGTCCGGGGCACTGGCATTCACTTTTTATTCTTGCCTCTAATTGTACAAAGAGATGGGCTTGGATGCTTCAAATCAGGTGATTGGTGGTAAGGCAAGACTCCCTCGCCCTCCTTAGGGCTTGGATGCTTCAAATCAGGTGATTGGTAGTAATGCAAGTCTCCCTCGCCCTTTTTTAAACGAACCTCTCATTGAATCCTTTTGTTTTGAAGAGTCTAAAAGCTTATTTCCCGACCCCTTGGTGGTAACATATTTGTTACCTCTGGAGAAGACTTTGAAGGAATCTTATCTGATGAGATTCTGTAATCCAGTGACATGTAGTTGATTCAGTAATCGGAAGTCAGAGGTCGAATCGTTCGATGTACCACAAATTTGCAGCACACTGTTGGAGAATTTTGACGAATGATCTTGCATTGCTTCGAATTTTAACTCTTCGATAAATTAAATTGGACCTTTTAAGCTAGCGCTTCGATTGCAGGACCAGAAAACCCAATGTTTCTTGGACCGAAACTTGGTTGTAACCATCCTGGCATGTGAACGGGCAACTCAGATCTTTGGAATGGTTTAGAAATTCGTAGATTAACTACTTAATCCATTTTGAGTAGGCAAAACAAATGATGAAAATTTAGCAGACTTTTCAACCTAACCATATTTGCTAACAGCAGGCCATAGTTCCCCGCGAGTCAGTGACAACCTTCATGGTAGTCAATTCATATTTTGAGTTTTCCTTTCCATGGCAATCTACTAGAAGACTACAAAAACTGACCCTGAGGAGACCGTCTCGCAGATTTTCGCGTGATACATTTTACGTGTAGCTGCAGCCTCTAAAGAGAATGACTTCAACCCCCTCCCAACGGATGATATGCGGACATCTTTTAGGAGACTTTAGAAAGCATTTGCACACCAGTGCGAGCCGAGTTTGGGTTAAGTAAGGTCCGTAATTGTTCGGAAAAGCCACTCGCTGTATGACTTTCACTATGCTCATTTTAATTCGGGAACTCTGCTTTCTCGTTGAAAGTCATATGACAGACACAAGCGCATACCGGTGATGCACTATAGTCGAGAGTGCGCCTGATGCGTGGCCTAGTCTTCTGTATTTTGGGACTTGGAGTGAGGTGGGCCTACAAACTCGCTATATTTCTAGCCTAAACTACCATCTTCCCTAAACCCAGGATCTCTGGTTGTGAGGCATCCCAAAACAGTTTTTGCAGGACAATACACTTCAGGAGAGCCTTCAATGACGAGTCCAACACTCGGATACCAATTGTGTTCACTTGATGAAAAATCATGAGAATCTAAATAATAAAATAATAAATGTATTATTGAATTATGCGTCAATAAGGCCTTCAAAAAATACACATTCTAGTGGCAGAGAATGAAAAGGAAAACAGCACGAAAATAACAGATGATCAAAAGGAAGAACCCAAATATTTTCGCTCATGGTTTCTTGAGTGGGGGCCTGCGTATATACTTGGCCTTCTCCTGTAATAAATCGAAAAATATGGGCGTTTATTAAGAATTTTCTGCGTGGCCTTTTCGTAAAATCAGTTAAAACACTACGCTTCAGTGAGCTGGGATCGGAGGGAGAGACCCTCTTGAAGGGATTATATTTCAGTCAAGCAGCAGGTGCCAGACGTGGGTGCATTCTGTAGTGGCTTGTGAGAATGAATCTGATAAGGCATTTTATATCAAATATGCGCATCACGCAGACGTGGGAAGTACGGGTCGAGGTGCCCAGACCCAGCAGGTGATGACCAGAATGAACTTATAGAAATTACCTGAAGTCAATCTAAACGAGGCTAGGTTGAAAACTTTCGTAAACTTCGCGATCAAGTGTAGGCGTAAAGCCTGTAAAATAAGCTATTATGAATTTGGAAGTTTGCAGTAAAAGGCAAGTTCGAATTTGGGTGACAGCATAAACCAATGTCTTTGTGGCGACATGTTTCATTGTTGCGTTGGAGAAAGTCGTCATACGGTAGGAGTACCAGTATTTCAGTTCAGATCCGACAGCCAACTAGAGAACCATTTTTGAAGTCCCTTATGCCATGCTTGTCAAACTACCGATGAAAGGAAGAAGGCCTTCGCTGCGGAGTTATTTATTAGAAAATACCAACTGACCGGTTACAGACTATTGGACAGGGAAGCAAAACTCTCATTTGCATTTTATATACAAAACTGGACATCCATCTTCTCCTGAACGCGTCTTCTTGAACTCTCCTGGATATTTATTGACTCCAAACATTCATTGCTTAAATCCAGGTAAATGTGCTACAAAGCGACTCCACAAGTTCCGCAACAGATCTCGCCTTCTCAAGAGACGCAAACCGAAATTCCAAGAACAGCACATACTACTCGCATGCCTCTCCATCAGTAGCATCACCGTTACACCATTATCACCACATATACGAATACATATGCTTTTCGTGAAGTAGCTGCGAAACTGAGACGTCAACTCCAGTAACTTGTGGGATCCTCGAGCATAAAGGCGCTCTAAGGCGCTAGAAGAGATTACTTGCCCACGCATGACGGATACACTGGTCTACCGGAATAGCTTCGAGTATTCGTTGAACAGTTGGGGAGAGGACGCGCAGAAGTCGCTCAAAACTATTGACTGGGCTTACCTGGCCCCCATTTACAATGCGGGTCATTATTACTGTGCTAAATCTAGCGCTGAATACGAAAACTTGGATATTTCCACTCTAACTCAAATTTGTAACGGTCCCTTTCCGATCGGTGCATTTTGAAAAATCCGGCTGTATAAAATTCTGCATTGCTCAAAGCAGCCGTGAAGATAGTATTCAGCGAATAAGAGCATTGCAAACTAATTTGGTTTTGCGAGAGTCTCACCTAGAACCCAGTTGAATCTCTCGTTTGCGATGTTTCCAGACTCAGCTGGGTTTCAGGTGAGTCACTCGCAAAACCAACTTAGTTTGCAAATGAGTACATATTCGCTAATTTCGTGCCCCAAGAAGGGCGAAACGGGTCGTGGGCTGTCGACGATTTTAAGCAACCTTAGGAGTAGTGCACTAAAAATTGCAAATAGCTGACGGTGGGGATCACGAACCAGACCACTCAGGACACGGCTGGCGAATACAAGGAGAATGACAGACGTTCAAGTCATCTAAGAGAGACAAAAGTGGAGAATAGAAGCATTTTGGTTAACACAGTCTCTACATTTCTTGCTCGGTAATTTCCAATAGGTTTTGGAAAGCTAATTTCATTACAAACTACTCACTCGTTCTTGGTATCTGCGCTCGTAGTAGTCTAATTCAGACTCGCCAGGTCGTCGCATCTGTGATTCCACCTCAGGACGTTCCTTTGCAGCACCTGTAGAATGGGAAAAACGGGAATGAAAATCCAACTGGAGAAAGGTTTTGTAAACTTTTGGATGATATTCAAACTTAAAGCGCGAACCTCCTTACATGTTTAGATAAGGCGGTTAAGTTGTTCCAAGGGGACTCTGTAAATCTGCCCGGATCGCCGGCTGATATACTCTTGGATTACGCTTTAAACACTGGGAATCGAACCCTGTACGATTGTCTTTATGTGAACGTCGTCCCACCTAATAAAGACGCACAAACGAGGTTGTCTTTCAGGAAGGACCCCTTCCAGTTGCTCTTTAGAGGTGTGCGTAGGTACCTCCTAACAGTGGATCTCAGGTGTGGACAGTTCATTTCATGTAATCTGGTGGAGTCTTTAGTTGAACAGTATTAAACATCCTTCTGATTAATACCCTTAGTTTCTGTTTTGATCGGCTCAAAAGCACTGTCCCTTCCGAAGGGATGGACAGTTTCGGGATCGACGGTTTTCAACCTTCTGTTAGGAGGATCTCCAATTTGACTTGTAAATTGCATCTCTTTAACTCTGGAAAACTGAACTAGTTGCACTAGGAGACAAGTTAAGCATCCAGAATTGCAAAAATCCCTTCAGACGCATTGTGCCCTTTAGCTTTACACTACTACTTCTTGGTAAGACGGATGAATACTGGTGTTACCTATATTGTATGGTTAAGCTAAAGTCTAGTGGTTCACACCATGAAAGCTGTCTTCATAGTGATTAATCAATCGATTGTAGTAAGAGTATTTTAGATCATTAGCTCACTAACTTGGCTTTGACGAGATCAATTACGGAACCAAGATTGATGTCTTGTGTATTACGGTCTTTTCCAGCGGAATATGTTGTGCACTCCAAGTTTCAGTTGGCATCCTATTCTCTAAACGGGACATACTACTCATGAGGTGTTAAAAACGCTTCGACTGGTTTTGCCCGTGTTGGGATTCTTCGGCTAGACGTAGTCAGCGAATTCCCATCAATATTAGGTCCCAAGTTTCGCGAAAGTCATCAAACACTACATCTTGCACGCTAATTTGATTCTGGCGACTCAGTTCACCTGGATCGGTTGTTCATGAATTAGGCCCAAGGTGGGCAAAACCGGCCTTGGGATGTGGAAGAGATGGCAACAAAATTGTGATTGTCGTGTTGAGCCCAGACAAAAGTTTAGATATTTTGTATCCGAAGAGGCGATCAATGTGGCAACTTTGCGCTGATACCAGCTGGAAGAATTTCATCACAATCAAATCAGTAGTACGTAACTTAGTAAACCAAATTACAGTAATCAATTCGGATATGCCTTTGAAAGAAAATGGAACGCTTTCCGTGTGGTGTTCATTGGTGTGGGACATATCCTTCGAAATGTTATGAAGCTTGTCAAACCCTTCCAGTCAGGTCTATCACGCACTAAAGTCCAGATGGTCTTATTTTAAACGGGCTCAGCACAGTTCTGCTGATGAGACTGTGCTCCGAATACGACGGCATCGCCGGCCTTTTGACTGGGATCTCATTTGACAGGAAGTGGTCTGGAAGTGATTTGAGGCTCTAAAATCAATATCTGGTTGAAGGCGTTTTGTGAGAATAATGAAATATGCTGAAAGCATGAGTAAGAAAAGAAGGAAAGCAAACAAAATTTGGAGAATGGTAGACAGTTTCAAGGTTTGAGATACTCAATGGAATAATGGTCACAAAAACGAAGAGCTCTCCTAACCAGATTTTTGAAATGGGGATCGGCGAAATTCGTAACCATTGTAAGGACGTTTAAGTTAAATTTGAGAGGACTGAACTTTCTACTCGATTTGTTTCGACAAATCAGTAAATTTTTAGCAGTTCGCGCAATAAATCCGACTAAAATGGCGGCACAACGCGCTTGGACGCCTATTGATTTAATTGACAGCTCGAGTAATTTGGGAACTGACCTCAAGAGGTACCTGCTGAAAGCATATAATACAGCCCACGTAGTATTTGTTGTAAGTTTTTTCTCTATCCGGTCCGGAAAAAGCTGTTCTTTCTTCCGACTGCTCGAATGTCTGGTGAAGAGCCAGAAATGGGATGTCATTGAATTCGCTTGCTTGAACAGGACCTCCGGATCAAACAGCGCAGATGAATCTCATTTCACTGAATCACGGACAGTTACTTAAAAGTGCTCCGCTTTCACTTTGTTCTCCATGAATATCCCTTCACGTTCTTCCAGGGTTACACGACTCAGAATCTTCGATACATAGTCAGCATCTCTTCGTAAGGAGAAACATATTCCCCTCTGCGTATAGTTACCGACAGCGCAGCCATCTACGATTGCCTCAATTTCTTTCTCATATATACATCTATCAAGAAAGTAATTTCCGGATAATATCGATTTTTATTTAACCAGGCTATGTTGGTCATTCTTGTTCGGCAGTCCGGATCCCTCTATCCGTAGAATGGTTGAATAAACCAACAGATGTTTAGGTGCTTGGAACAGCGCCTTTAGGAAATCGCCAAATATCTGATCACAGTAATCCACCTACAAAGACACCAATAAAGACAGATGCACAAGATAGAACCCGCTAGGGAGTACCCGTTTTTGGGTTGAGACTTTTGGGGTTTATGAGACTTGGCCTATTCAAGCAGCGGACCTGAGACGTCTTCAGGTGTTCGACACTCGTAGTCTCAGAACCATAACTCGTGTGGGTTGGTGTCGGCGAATCCGTAACGAGGCAGGTAGAGTGTGCGTTTTCGGTTGTACAACGGGTACTTCAATTGACGAATACGTCTAGCACCAGAAGCTGCATTGGTTAAAACATGTGTTGCGTATGCCAAACCATCGTTTGTGGAAGAGAGTGCTGTTTTCCATGCCCAATTCAGAGTGGTGTAAACAGAGCAGTGGCCAACCCTTGACTTGGCAGAGGAGTATGAAGGAAATCACGAAACGCTTGGGTGCTGTCGGTGCTACTCGCCTTCCAGGATGGGGACCGCGTGATCCTCACCGTGCTTGGTTGGAGACACTACAAGATATGGCTGCCAACCGATGTCAGTGGCGTTCTTGTTGTCAGTTTCTGTCCAGATTGCTGAGTGAATGTCTGGAGGTG